GTTTCACATGGCTCTAATCGTCTTCCGTAGGAAACGGGCGTGCTCACGCGCAAAGCGAAAATGCAGTACACCATTTACGGGAAAACGAAGCCTTTCGAGGTGAAGCAGGCATGGGATTGATGAAGTAGCGGCCAGCGTGTCCTCGTTTTCTGGCATCACCAGATCATCCACATATGCTGAAAGCAGTATAATGATGTCAGGAGACAGAGAAAACAAGCTCACTGCCGAACGAGCGCAACGGGGACTTTGATATGCATGTGTTTTTTTATTGAAATTTTGGGTCTACAGTTTGCCAAATATAAATAAAAGTGCAACCTTTTTCAAACAAAACACAACCTACAGTTTTTAAGGTGTTTTAAAATGTTCAAGTAAAAGGTGTCATGATCCTTCCGTGTGCCACGCCCCCTTGTCACCTCGTGTCAATTCCTGATTGTACTCAGCTGTTTCGCGTTATTTCTGAGTAGTCCTGTGTATTTAGTCCGCGTTCAAGTCTGTTTCCCCAGTCCGGTCATTGACGTTGTATACCGTGTGTACCCTGCCTTGTTGATTCTGCCGTAATAAACCCTGTTTCCTGGATTCCCGTCTGCCCGATCCTGATTCTCCGCTCTCTGCTCGCTCACCTGACACGCAACCATAACAGAATGACCAGACTCCACAAGAAGACGCCTCAACTGACAGCAACTGAATACGGCAAGCTTGTCGACGAAGTGGTTTACCCAGCTCGCGCCCTGGCAATTCATACGGGGATATCCTGCGGAGGATTTCCCCGTCGAAGGACGCATTCCTGGCGGAAGAAGTGCAGCTGAAGTTACGGCAGCTCAGGAAGGTAGCAGCTGACCCCAATAGGCAGCAGGTGACCTTGGACAGCGGACTGCTGTTGGATCCGCCATTGGAGCCATCCGCAGTACCCCAGACCATGGGTAAAAAGAAAAGGCGCAAAAGCCAGAGACGTACGGAGATGCCAACGATCTTCCTGGGGGCCGTCTCCATCGCCGCCGCTTCTTTCCCCGCTGGGTCTCGGGAAGAGCCCCTCCCAATTTTAAACCCCACTGTGTTCGCGCAGAAAACCACCTCCGCTGCCCTGGAGTGCTTTCCTGCAGCTTCCCCTCCTGGATCAGCAGCACCCTCCTTGGTTGGGACACACCTGGCTCTTAAAGGGGCCAGGTCAGTCTGGGAAGCTATCCTGCGGGTCCTTAAAGGGGCCATGCTTGCTGCTGAGGTGCAGACCCCGGCTCCAGCCCTCGCGGCTCTTGTGTCGGCGGTTCCTGCAGCGCCCCTTGTGGTTCCTATGCTGCCAGTTCCGGCTGCACTCCCGGAGGTTCCTGTGCAGCCCATTCCAGCTTCGCTCCCGGTGGTTCCAGAGCTGGCGGTCCCTGCACCGCTGCCCGCAGAGACTCCTGCTGCAACCGAGGCCCCTGCAGCGCCTCCTGTGGTTCCTGTGCCGGAGGTTCCTGCGCCGCCCGTCCCAGCTGAGCCCCCGGAGGTTCCTGCGCTGCCCGTCCCGGCTGCGCCCCTGGAGGTTCCTGTGTCTCTGCCGCCGCCACCCGAGGTCCCGGAGCCTCCGTCCAATGCTCCACCCTCCAATGTTTTGGCTCCGCCCGTGCTTGATGTTCCAGCTCTGCCTGAGGCCCTGGCTCCGCCTGTTGCTCCGGCCGAGGTCCCGGCTTTGCCCACGCCCTCTGTTCTGCCCGAGGTTCCTCCTCCCTTGAGGGAGGGAGGGGAGAAGCTCAAGTGGGACCCCTCGGGGATCTCCCTAATGGCCCCAAAGGACCCCTACAGGGGAATGACTGCTTCCCCATCACCCTAGCGCGGTGTTTCCCGGCCAAGTCTTTCAGTGTCCTGAAAAGGGAGAGGACACAGACGTAGGAGCCGGGTCCTGCTCCCTGGTTTGCCCTCGCTCGCCTTGGCTGGGGCTCGGGGGGCACCTGCACGCTCTCCGACTCCTGTTCGGCAGTCACCTGCGGGTCCCCCTCCATGGACTCGTCGGCCACCTCTGGCACCTTGTCGGTCGCCTGCGGGTTCCCCTGCATTGCCTTGAAGGTCGCCTGCAGCTCCCACCACTCCGGCTCGTCGGTGGACAGCGCCTTCGCCGGTTTCAGCTGCGTCACCGCCGCTGTGGTTTCCCCTCCCTCCTTGCCTGCACCGTGGTCCCCTCCGTCTCCCTCCTTGCCTCCTCCGGTGCCCCCTCTGACTTCCTCCTTGTCTTCTCCGCCTGTCTCTCCGCCTACCTCCTCGCTCCCTGCGAGGTCCCCTTCGGCTCTCGGTCACCTGTGGCCTCTCCGGCTGGCACCCTTCATGCGCCGCGGTTCCCTCGGGCTCCCCGTTGTCCTCTGCCATCTGGTTTCCTGCCTCCTTCCTTCGTCCCTCCTGTGTTTGATCCTCATCCCTTGGTGTCTCCTCTGTTCACTCCCAGTACCTTTGTCCCTTGGTTGGTGTTCCCCCTGTGCCTCCTTTTCTGGTTTATCTGTCTCTGTTTCCTGTTCTGTGTCAGATTTTGTCCTGGTTTTTGCCCTTTTGTGTATCTGTCCTGGTCCCGGTCTCCCGTTAATGATTTTGCTTTTGTCTTCCAGGTCCCATGTCCCCTGGTCCAATCTGATCCGTCGCCTCCCCTGAGGCGTGCACTCCGGACCGGTTCTGTCATGACCTGCTTGTATGATCCTTCCGTGTGTCACGCCCCCTTGTTACCTCGTGTCCATTCCTGATTGTATTCAGCTGTTTCGTGTTATCCTGTGTATTTAGTCCATGTTCAAGTCTGTTTCCCCAGTCCGGTCATTGAGATTGTATACTGTGTGTACCCTGCCTTGTTGATTCTGCCTTAATAAACCCTGTTTCCTGGATTCCCATCTGCCTGATCCTGATTCCCTGCTCGCTCGCCCGACACACGAGCATAACAAAAGGCATGTTCAGCGAATTTTCTACATCTCACAGTCTAGATTCCTTAATAGGCTACAGCAGACTCAGCTCTTTTGCCAGTGTTCTGTTGAGTTAAGCTACTTTGTCGAGTTAGGCTACCGTAGTGCTAATCGATAGCCCTAACCCTTAACCTAAACCTAACCCCCCAGAAAACCCTAAAACCCTTACCCTAACCCCACCCCCTAAAACCTAACCCAAATCCCAAGAGGGTGGAACTGCACATGCACAGAAAGGCTGGATAGCACATCTAGATAGGTAGCTCAACTCGTCAGAACACCGGCTGATCCCTTCTTGCCCATGCTGCTGCAGTTGTACCCTCCTTTGGTAGATAATGCAGACACCCAACGAAAACTGAACCAAATATAACAGTGGAACCACATGGAGGCACTCCACGAGAGACGAGAAGCTCGTCTGCTGGTGCTGCGGGGGGGCAGGGCATCGGGCTCGCCACTGCCCGGAAGCTCGCACCAGAGCCTCCGGCAGGTGAGCAGAAGGCCCTGGGGAAAAGGAGGCACCCTCCATGCTATCCAGGATGCACCGGACCCATGCAGCGCGTCCTGAAGCCGCTTCTGCCTGCCCACCAAAACCTCGGCAAAAAGGACATCGGCGACTAAGGAGGGCGATCACTGCAGTGGACTCAAGCTGCTCACTGGCCGCTAAAAGAAGCAGAGGTCGCACTGCGTGGCCGATAGGAGGCATGCCATGCACTGGAGGCCCAGTTAGCCCAGGAGCACGGCGAGCTGGCGGCTCAATGAGAGCAGGAGCTGCTGTGCAGGGCTGCACGACCCTGCGAGCAGGAGGCTCCGCAGCAGGACCTGCCTGCCCTACAATACCCGGGCCCTAAACGGGGTAGGAAGAAGGGCTGGGGCCAGAAGGGGGGCGCTCTGCCGGAAGCCTCCAGCAGCCCCGTGCGCTGGCTGTCGCCGGAGAAGGGAGCCTGGCTGTGGGAGTCACTGGGCAAGGACCCCCTGGAAGCTATGCTGGGTCCTCTTAAGGCATGGAAGAAGGTTCGGCACCGGTGGGGATCCAACATGCCAGCACAGTGAAGCAGCTAGCCAGACCAACGCGCGGGGAGTGTCCTGCTCCGTCATTGGAGACGACGCACCAGCGGCTACCAGCTGACCCCTAGGACTCAAATCATAACTGAGGTGGGGACTGGGGGTGGTGGTTGCCGGGACGGTCAACCTCTGAGGAGTGGGCAGTGTAGCACTGGCAGGGCGCATGTCCCAGCATGCCCCACGTGCAAGTTGTAAATAGCCCTTGTATTGTTGTTGTTATTGTTAATGGTTATATTCCTTATTGTCATGCGTGTGTTTGCCCATGTCTTGCGTGTACCCTGTCCGATCCTCATGTGTAACTAGCTTTGGTAAATCTCCCATCATGTATGCATCTTGCAGTTCAGAGTCTTACAACCCTGTGTTTCTTATGTGTAATCGGTTCGGTGCTTGTTGGGTGCCTGATGTAGCCCTTTTCAGGACTACCAATAAAGAGCGTGTTCTCCCCGGCAAGCTAGTGTCCGTCTCTCTCTCTGCTCCCGTGATGCCTCGGTTCACCCATCACCACAATATTTACACGGCATGCCAGAATCTGCTAATTGACTGTCACCGGCAATAAAAAATCCTCCGGGTACTCTGGTTTCCCCCCACAATCCAAAAACATGCTGAGGCTAACTGCCAAATTGCACATAGGTGCGTGAGTGGGTTGGTACCCAATCCTGTGTTGTTCCATGCCTCTGTGACCCCCCGTGACCCTGAATAGGATAAGTGGTTTCAGAAAATGAATAGATATATTATATATAAATAACAAACATAAATAAACATCTTCATGACAGTCTAATAAATATACAAGGAGAACCTTCCCGCGAGCGCGAAAGTGAACGAATCTATGAATTAATATTTAGGTGAACTAACTCAGAATAATACTGAAAAAGCATCACGACATATATAGCGGATGTAATTTTACTCCGACCGGCCGCAGCATTTTAAATAATGAATATATAATAGGCTAATAATAACGCCACTTTACAAACTACAATTCCCTTCCATCCTTTCCGTCTCGTACACATCCATCCATCTGTCCATCCGCTCGTCGCCTCGGCTTTCTTTCGCACTGTCTCGCGTTATCGGAGGCCTTCAGGCAGCACCGGGAGAAGGGTGGAGATACGTTGAGGGAGAGGGGCACGGCGAGGGACCCCCGCCGGGCGTGGAAAGTGCTGCTTAATCCAACAAACTACTCACGCTAGACCGAGAGGGAGGGGGGCTGTACATGTACAGACACATGCACCCCGAAAGCCATGTGCATTGCACTTCTCCGTCATATTCGAAAGCACAGGGAGTTTATCTGTAAACAGCAGAACATCATTCATTAGTTGCATAAACGGGAAATGGCGCTAAAGCGAATTCAGAAGGTGAGTGTTCCATATAGTTTGGTTTATTTCGCTCTTCAAATGTGACATTTGGCGCCTCGTTTTCTATGAGCAGCTGGACGCTGTTTCATGTCATTCGACGGAACGCGATTCATCATCGTAACATCGGAATGTCAAATATAAGGAGTAACAACTTATCAAGGACGCATTGATGGGCTGTGTGAACCAGACACCTCACATAACCGAAGTGGTTTTTGCTTGTTTTTTCCCATTCTGTTTATTATTATTATTATTATTATTATTATTATTGCTGTTGTTGTTGTTGTTTTCTAATAGCGCGTTCTTTTGAAGAAGGTCCTTGTATTTAATGACTGTCGACAAAATCCGGCACTGTTATTGGTGGGGGTGGGGATCCCCTCCCCCTGAGGCTGTTATCAGTCGGGGGGCTCTGATACGCGCACACAGCCGCAGAGAGTGTCAGTCCCACACCGCTTTCTAAATACAGTACCGCTGGTGTCAATGTTGCCAAATATGGAGCGCTAGATGGGGCTTCGGTCGCTATAGCTGCGTGTATTTTTAACAGTATTAATGAAGCCCCGATCGTAAGCACACACCTTCTGAAACTGAAGTATGGCACTCCTGGACTATAGAAGTATCATTGCTGCATTTAATCCAGCCTGGAAGTATAGGCTCTGAATCTTAACAACTTGACACAATTTGTCTTCCTGGACAATTGGCGGACATGATTTATTGTAACTTCGTAAGTTTAAGGAGAAGTGTCCTATGTTCCAAGTAGCATATTTCTTAAAAGGAAAGCTGGCTTTAATTTATTGTTTTTTTAAACCTGTTTTTATGGACATATCTACCTGTGGAAGCTAATTATCTGAATGGTTGCATTGTAATTCATTGACTTCTCTAACAGTCTACCCAAACACAGACCAGCCCTTCAGAGATAGTTTAATGCAGGTGTAATGCATCTCAGTGTATGAGCCACAGATCCCAGAAGGTGTCCTTCAGGAGGTGTCCTTCCTTTTTGTGCTCCTGACATAACTGAATAAATCTGGTAAAATATGAAACTGTAATGTTTTAATTGGATAAGCAGCTAAGCGGCTAGGTTGTACACTCAGCCTAATTTTGACCTTCTGAAGCTTCTTTGAATTTTCTTCTCGAAAAGCCCAGGACTGGGCCTTTTCTTTTTGCTGTAAGTTGTGTTTTACCTTCACAACTTCACAACCAACACCCCCCCCCTCTCTCTCCTCACCCAGGAGCTGACGGATTTACAACGTGACCCTCCAGCGCAGTGCTCAGCTGGCCCGGTTGGGGAGGACTGTAAGTATATGCGGACCGCAACTCAGGACGCCCATTCCTGTTAAATACGGAGTTGGAGTAGCTGTGTTGAAAGTGCTTCCACACCTTCATTGCCTGTCTGCTGTGCCCATCAGGGTCTCCCCTGTGTACTGAAATCACTGAGGTGCCAACCAACAGAGTTGGGTAATTCAGGTCCAGAGAGTAAAAGTCCAGACCGGGATTTTGTTTCAACCGACCAGTTAACTTTGATTCTTTATGCTCAACTGGATGGTTGAAACAAAATCTTGGTCTTCACTTTTATTCTCTTGACCTGAATTTCCCAAACCAAACATATATGATATATGAAATATGCTATCCCATATACACTCACCTAAAGGATTATTAGGAACACCATACTAATACAGTGTTTGACCCCCTTTCGCCTTCAGAACTGCCTTAATTCTACATGGCATTGATTCAACAAGGTGCTGAAAGCATTCTTTAGAAATATTGGCCCATATTGATAGGATAGCATCTTGCAGTT